GTAGCAGCGAAGATGAGTACAAGGTGGATGACAAGAGAGAGAGAGAGAGAAGGGCGCAGGCACGCGGGAGGGGGAAGAATAAGACGAAGATGAGAAACGGGGCTGGGAAAATGGAAAATAAACAGAGGGGTGAGGGGTTGGTGGTAAGGGGTCGAGGAAGAAGGGGGGTGGGGGCGGAGGCCAACAAGGTGGACGTTAAGGCAGAGAAGAGGGGGAGGGGGGCACCTCGTCTCGACGCGTGGACAAGGAATAGAGCGCGCCGCGCGGCGTCACACAAGCCGAGGGGGAGGCTGGAGCACATGTGGGGGCGCGCGGGGGAGGCAGTGTGGGAATGCGGAGACGACGGTAGTGATGCGATAAAAGGAGGTGGACCTGCGGCGGGAGCATAAAGGTGAGAGAAAAGGAGGCGCCGGGGAGAAATGAGATTTTCTTGCTGCGTTTAAAGGGGAGGGGAGTCGGAAGGCGGGGAGGGTGAGGGGGTCGCGGTGGTGGATACGACTGTTCCATTTGCGCTCGGTCTGTCGCACGGCTGCGCACAGCACGACCGACGCCTTTTTGGCTCCCCGAAACGGCGCCGTGCGTGCGGCGAGCACATTACGAGACTCCTTTCCGCCACCTCGCGCCTCGCCTCCCCGCCCCCGTCTCCCCTCGAGTCCCCACGGATTCAGTCCGTCCTCTGTCGCCCAGATGAAGGAGCTTAGGAGATGGTGTTGATGATTGAGCTCTAACTCAAAGCTGGGATGGGAGGGCTGGGGGGAAGGTCAGACGGCATACTCATTTCGCGGTTCCGGATTAAAAAGTTCTTCCGTTGGGGAGGATTAGTACTCCTCCCGTCACTCGGTCTCCCCCCACCCCCCCTTCTCCAATCTCTGTCTCTTCATCTTTCTTTCGTGCCATAATTGTACGGAGTAAGTTAACGCTGCTCTTGGCCTGGGCTGCTATGCAGAAGTCGTTACCCCCCGCATAGAAAGTAAGATAGTCCGATTTACAAATCATTTAAAATAATTATCAGAGAATTTGTCCCCCAAAAGATGGAAAAGCTGGAGATAGCCGAATGAAGTAAGCTTGAGAGAGATTATTTAAGCGTACACGTTGCGCTTCGTAGGTGTTTGGAATGTGTGAATGAGGGTAGGAGCGCGAGTGGAGGGCACATGTTCCTCCGGGAGCGCGGCGGGGACGCCACGCCCGCGTGCTGTGCATAGTGTTCCTCACTAGGCGAGCGCCACGCCGCGCCACATCCTTAAGTGCACTACTCGCACAGCGCACTAACTGCGACAATACGGACGGAAGAAGCGGGGGTGTGCACGAATGGGGTTCGAATTCTCTCCATTCTCTAAAAACATAAAAAAGACTAGAAGGGCGCGATTCTTTTGCTCGGAACCAATTTTAACACTTTACTTGTGACGACCCCCGGCCCCATGTTCCGCTCATTGGCACGCGCTAGGGTGGTTCAAAATGACAATTTCCGCATGTTTGAGCTCGGCTTGTGCATTGGTTCCCAATCTCAAATTTTAACCGAACGCGGCTTGTCTGAAATATAATTTACCTTCTTTGCGAAACAATCCACGTTCGGTCGAAATTCGACATCAGGGACCATGTGCAAGCCGGGCTCTCTACTTCATTTTGAACCACCCTAGCGCGCCCCTCACCTGCGGCAAAAGTACGCCGCGGCAACTGGCTGATCATTCCAACTGACAGCCGGGCAGGTACAACCCGTCCAGCCGAGTTGAGACTGATGACGTGTGGCCCCGGGCGGATTGTGCTGGGGAGCTTGTCGCCTGTGTGCGCACGCTGCGCAGCGTAACGACTCAACCGCCCCGCCCCACCACGCCCCACGCCACCACGCCCCACGCCACCACGCCCCGCCACGCCCCACACCACCACGCTCCGCCCCGCCGGCGGTACGTTCCACCACTCTGCTACCAGCCCAGACGTCAAATAATAATCAGCAAGCAAACACGCGCTGGGTGGCGGCCACCGTGCTCCCACGTGGCTCAACTTGTATGAAAGGCACCCAACCCCCGAACTCCCGCCCCACCCCACCCCGACACACTGCTTGCATTCAGATTCTCGGCCACATTCGGCACAAATTCTCCGCGCCCCCGTCCCCGCGGTGTCGCTCGGAGCGTCGCGACGCCGACGTCAGGAAACAGCAGAGAGTAAATACTTTCGCTTCACTTGCGCACACCACCTCTCGCCGTCTTTCTCCTATACTTTTACGTCCGCGGAGTTGTACAACAAAAGAAACCGTTTTCATTCTGCTCGTATTATTTTTCGGTTCCGCGCCTCCCCTCTCCCCCTTCTCTCACGGGGCGGCGCGAAGCGAAAACGTTTGACACGACTCGTACAAAAGTTTTCCCGAAGACTAAAATAAGAAAAATTGAGGTGAAAGGGGTATACACTGACGAGGGACTGAGAGAAGAAGAAAAATAAAAGAGAGTGAGAAAACATTGCTTATTACAAAGCAAAGGCAGCCCTTCGGCCGAAACCAAGCAGCAGCACAGAAACAGGTGGAGTCTACAAATCGCGTCAGCAAGGGGTGCTGCGACGAGGGAAGAAAGTGTGAAAGCGAAAGATTTTTTATTTGAAGGGTAATTGCTTTGGGCCGGCGCAAATCTTAGGGTCTCAGTCTCAGTGTGCTTCATGGACTCGTCGATGTTGCCCCTTGCCCCCGGTCACCACCTCCAGCTACACCCGTCCTCCAGCTACACCCGAAGTCTTGTGTTATTGAAAAGATGAAAAAGGTTTCGAGTAAAGTTGAAACAGAAGGGTCCTTTCGCACCTATCACCGCAACCTTTTGAGTGAGATGCCGCGCTCGAAACGAATAAGGCAGTTTTTCCTTTTTCGTCTCTAATCAAAGCGACCCTAGTGTTTGTTTGCAATTTGGAGGATGCAATAATTAACACCGAAAGGCTTTAAAAGCCCCTATGCCACCACCAACCCGCACCAATCTGTGGACATTTACGGAACATGCTAGTATAAATTGCCTTTACAAGACGACAGAGGGGAAGTGTCCTACATAGACTACTATGCCTTTGTTTCACGGGGCGATGGGGTCGATGGCACGGCAGAAAGGTCCACCTCTATTCGCGCATGGCAAAGTCGAAACTGAGCAGAACATTTCGTTTCGGCTGCGGAGGAACCAGCCAAACAATGAAGTCTCGGCATCGTCAGCACGAATAACAATTTGAGCTTGGAGTTCTGTTACTACCCATTTTGGGTCATTTGACATGTACCGAGTGTTTCATGAAAGACACAGGTGCGGGCGGGTTTGCCCACCCGCTCCACCCGTAAGGCGCCATAGCCTCTTTAGGTAGGCAAATAACCAGCCCGCACCTGCGTCTTCTATGAAACACCCGGTACTTACGTCCGGAGGAGTTAAAGAGCCGATGGGTCGGAGGGTGAGGTTGGTGGAGCCGGGCGAGGTGGGGCAAGGCAAAGTAAGAGTCCTTCTGATCAGAAAATCGAGGAAATGTGACGGCAGAGGTCGCCGTGGAGCATGGTGGGGCGTGGCGTAGCGTTGTGGGGTGGAGTGGCTTGGGCGCGGCGGGCGGGCGAGGCGGGCGCGCGAGCGGGGTCTTTGATACAGGCCATTGTTTCTGGCCGGGCCAGCGATATTCCCTGTCGCACAAATAAATTGAAAAGCAGGGCTCGCGGCGCCAGCTGCGCGGGGCCCTCCAAGGTAGTGATTAGGGAGGGGGAAGGGGAAGAGCAGGGCGGACCGAGGGGAGGTAGTGACATCTCAAATTAGATTGACAAGGACAGTAAACGAGTAAAAGGAAAAGAGAAGGCCGACTGGCAATGTTGAAACATTAGGCTGAATAATAGAAGGAAGAAACGAGTTCCTCGTTGAACACGTAAAACAGCAGCGCAGCAGCGTTTCAGCGGAATCGAATATTCCCGGTGCGCATCTTACTCACCCGTGTACACGGTTGCGAATCTGCTCCGTTCCGCCGGCGGGGCCCACTTGGCGATCATGAACTGGATGGCGGGGAACGTGACGCCCTGCACAGAGACATTCGTTGCGTCAAAAAACAGATTTGGAAATGTTTTATTATTGCGTTTGTTCGGGACGTTGAAAAGCAAACAAACGGGCGCAAACAGGGCATAAAACGTCGAATTGCTGAAGATGACTATGGTAATGATACATGAAAAGCGGCGCAAGGAGAGGAGGAGAAAGAAAACGAAAACCGGTTAGCCGGGGGAAAGGGGGGGGGGTCTCTCCCGTGTAGTACTAATTCCATTCCCAGAGCGCGGGCACGGATCTCGAGAAGTGCTGCTGCTTTAGCGAAAATGGTTGGCGCGGGGCGGCATGGCTCGACAAGGTCTCGCGAAATGAGATGAGGAAAGAGACGGAAACAGGATCGACCTCCTCTGCAGGCGGAAGAGAGGGAGCGGGGGGCGGGGCGGGCTCCCTTTGAATGTTCCGGTCCATGTCACTCCCTGGCTGCGCCCCGGCTCCGCTCCTCGGCTCCGCCCGCTCCTCCGACCAGTATAGTGTTGCGAGGGCGAAGATGCCGTGAGCGATGGCGCTTACTATATACTACTTTGTCGAAGACGAGAAATGGAGAGGAGCGCGACCGGCAAAGAT